CTATCAATCGAAAGGAGACTGCGACCACACCAGAGGCCACAACACCTTGGTCTTCATATATTCAATCAGAACGATTTACTTTATGTGCACCACCCAAGCAACATATAAGCAAAGCTTGCCTTTATCAAATACAGAATTATATTTGGATAAATATCTAAGCGGTAAAGTCAATCACTCAGAACGGCGAAAAAAACTCGCTGAAATAGCTGATACTCATGAGGCAAAATAACATAAAGACTCACTTTCTAAAGTAGTTAGAGGCGAAGGAGCTTGATTATCAACAATTACGCTAATCAACCCATCACAAGGCCCGGCAACCGGGCAAGTAGTGGTCTTCAACGCTTTTTCTTTAGCCCCAGATACCTCCTTTCCTTCCTCACTCGCAGCTACTAAGGAAAGCTTGAATTCAAATGTAGTTTCTGCAGTGTCCCTTGACGAGCAGGTTGAATCAGCGACTAAAGGGACGGCCATACTAGTTGACATATCATCAGGCAAATATTCAGAGCTATCAATTGGCGGCGATGTCGTAGATAAGTTGCCTCCAGAAACCTGGCTAGAAGAATGAACTGAATACTGTTGATGTCCTTGTTCAAGAGGAGACGAAGAACGGCCACCAGAGGTAGTGTGAGAGCGTAGATGCATTTGAGTCTGCGTTAGTAGAGGTGGTGAAGAAGGCGGTATCAACCAAGGAAATTCGACACAAGGAGGGAGAACAGGGACACCATGAGCAGAGAAACAGTAGCATGGTTGCCTGCTACGCCATTTACAGTCGTAAGCAATTAGTTCTGATAACTGGCGACCATCAGAGGGTAGTCCATAGCGAGCTTGTAGGTAAGCTGGCCAGGGGATATTGTGCTTAGTCGTGGGAAACATAAAAAAGAGACTTAGGGGTATTGTTGTAGTTGATCATAAATTAGAATTTCAAGCTTGCATCGGCAAAATAGGGAAAACAAGAAAATGGGTTATTAAAAGCTTTTTTAAATGACTTCAAATGCAAACTATTAAATTGCGTAACATGATAAAAACTCTCATCTCAGATAGTGAGTAGAACAAATTAAGTAAATGGGCTGCTTCGCAATGCCGAAAGACATACTTGCAGGTGTAAATCAAACAAAGCCTCCGGTGTGATCTTGGCATCCCGTGCCAGCGTCTCACGACAGTGATAGCATGGTGAGACTAGATATGCAGGCAAATCGACTCTATGCAAGTAGTCATGGTTGTCGCAGAGTGCACAGTAAGAATTTCTTGGAGCTAAGTTACCTACATCAAGCAGATAACCAGTCTCTTTATCACTTGGCAATGTCATTTGAGTTTGTCGATCAGGTCGAGATGCTTCAGTCGACTCCTTCATTCCCCCCATTAGTCCATTAGGTGCTCGAGTCTTTGGAATGGGCTGCATCATATTAGCCACTTTCGTGTTTATAGAGTCCGTGCCAAGGTCACCTGGCTCCCTTAATCCGAGCTCTGCAAAAGGCTCACAGGTCAGGAGAGACTCTGGGCAAATAGTAGCCTGGATGGCTTTAGGAATGATCTCAGTAGCAGCTATTTCAGTGGGTGATAAGGTCCCTGGAAGTAATTCGTCGCAAATTGTTGTAAGGAAAGGATAAATGAATAGCGAGAAAATTAGTAAAATTAGTTTTTAAAAGACATACAAAAAAGTGGTTCACAATAAAGGCAAATTGATTAGCTGACGAAAAAACTATAAAAACATTTATCTGTTTAGTTTCTTGTGCCGCTTGAATAGAGAGATATTAAGAATGATAGTATTGAGGATTTAAATTGTCTAGAATACAGTTTAGAGACAGAATGCTATAGCAGGCTTGAAAATGTTCTTAGGCACACAATGAATGTACGCAACATTACCAAGTAGGAAAAAATGGGAAAGTTCGAATACTAAACCGAGCTATATCTAAGTTTAGTCATATAAATATAAGAAAAGGAACATAGGAGGAATTCTAAGCATTATAGCAAAAATATAAGTAAAATTATCCGCCAATTCTGAAATTTATCCGATCATGCCTACGTGCTGTGCTCGAAATTGAAAAAGATTTTCAGAGGAATCCGTCTGTAAACACATACAATAGTCACCAATTCAAATACTTTACGTAATTATTCAATTAATTTTAACTAATGTAAATAAAGTCAGTGAAATAGGTAATGGCGAAATAATTCTCACCCGTAAGCGTGCTCTTGCTTTTGCCATGCGGTCGGCTAGCTCCAAAGTTGGATATAACAGCTCCTGCAGAATTAAAAGTGGCTTGTACATGGAACTTGTTCACCCAATCATCAGTCTGATGGTCTGGACAGAAGGCACTAGCCGAACGAGTGTGGACGTCACGCTGACAGGATCCATTAGGGACTGGTGAAGGTTCTTTGGGATCGGGAAGCTGGGGTAAGAATGGATAGTTATTGAATGGATATTTAATTGGTTTGGTTCGTCTTATTAATAAGGCATTGTGAAAAATATGAACCACGAGGTTCCGATATGGTACAAAGTAGAAGGATTTGGACCACTCTATACTCAGTTTACATAAAAGATTATTTGATTGAATGTGGGACCCCGTCTGTGTCAGGGAAGTGATCTGTAAGCAAAAACAGCTACCAAAACGATGTGAAAAAGGTATGGACAAAGTATACAACTAATTTCTTCGTTTATACATGGGTTTTCGAAACTACCAGTAGATTAGATATATAAAGTATATTCACCGTATTTCATTTAAAGTGATAAAGGGACTCGTAGTTGAATTTTTCGACAATGATATGAATAGATCTTACGTTTGATACTAAATTTCGCATAGCCATGCTTCCCAAAAAGGTGTTCTCATCCAGGGTGGAGGGCAGTTTCGACCTCGCCTGAACTGGCTTCATCAGCACACCTAGCGTGACTCTAAACATGACAGTGCAGTGTATAATCTCGATACGTTAGCAAATATGCCACATTGCCACACGTTCCCTTGGGTCACAGCGCAGATGTGAATTTAAGGAAAGGCCAGGCATTTTTCCATATGAGCTTCTGTGATGGGATTGTCGATGAAGCAAAGTTGTATAGCTTCAACTTATTTTTCGTGTATAAGTAGGTTTTCGAGACTACCAGTACATTATATATGAGGTATATTTACTCAATGAAATTCAAAGTATTACGTAAAGTCTACCCATATCATTGTGGGAGAACTCAGATATCAGTCTCCTTATCACCTTAAATGAAATAAAGTACACCTCACATATATGATCTACTGGTAGTCTCGAAAATCTACATATAAGCGAAAAATAAGTAGTGTAGTCGATTACCATAGCAAATACAACTTTGCTTCATTGACGATCCCATCACAGTATCCGATATGAGAAAATATCTAGCCCTTCACGAAAAGCACATATGCCCTGTGACCCAAGAATACACGTGGAAATGCGGCGTAGTGGTTGACGTATCAAGATTATACGCTGGTTTGAGTCCCGCTGTGGGTGCTGATTATACCAGTTCAGACGAGGTCGAAGCTGAAGTCCATCCTGGATAAGAATACATTTGGGAAAAGCAAAGCAACATGAAATTTAATGTAAAACTTGAGATCTACTCATATCATTGTGATAAAACCTAACTGCAAGCCCCCTTATCAATTTAAACATAATGGGGTGAATACACCTAAGATAAATTACTGTTTGTGAATAATAATATAATTAAATAAGATTCCACATGAAGGTACCAAAAAAAATTAAATTTTCATATCTAAAATATCAATGAGCTATTTTGTTCTACCCTCATTTTTATCAATATAAACCACATATTTAGTAGCAATATTAAAATCAACATTAATTCTCAATATAAAACTATTCCTACAGTTCTTAAAGTAGAAACGTATGATGAGGCTTATAGCAAATATTAAGTGGCTTTAGATGCAATAAGATATAAAGTGCATTCCGAATAGCAGCTTCACTAAGGACAATGAGAAAGCAAGTGAGTAAATTGATATAAATCTAATCTAAGCGTACCACATGAATTACAATTTCAATATACTTGAGATTTGTAGTTTACTAACTCACGAAATCGCAAAAGAATCAATAAATGTGCCCCCGGTGGACAAAATTGGTCGAAGCTATCAGAGATTGCTAAGACATTACATCATAGGACTAGCAGACAAGGAGAAAGATGCATGAGGCTTGACAACAGAGAATCTAGGACGATTAACCTGAAAGATATTATGATGTTAAAAAATAAAAACGGGACATTACTAATTTTCTATACGATTTCGTATCAATGAACATGTATTCGACAGCTGATAAACTCTCAACCTCGCTA